TAATATTCTACGACAATTTTAAAGCTGAATAATGTAGAAGAAATAAAAGAAAGATAATTGTAACCAAATTTATACCGGGAATTTATTTGGTTTTCGAAGGTTCTTTTTTTCAATTTTATTTTTCGAAATTATTGTTTGAATATGTCGTTTAATTTCAGCAAGTAAATAAAATTGATTTACATAATTCGTTGTGTGTGGTTCGCTATTTGCAGGTAATATATGCGCATGTAAAAATATTTTTTCATACTCTATAAGAGCCGTGTGAATGACTATACAAGGCGTCGATTTTTTTAAAGAATATTTTTCTAATGACTATACAAGGCATATGATCGGCTTTAACACGGTGAAATCCAGGGTTTTCTTGGTCCCTCTTTCATCACAATTGTGGACACTGACAACCGGTAGTGTCACCTGGGGTAGCTATTTCCATCACCCGGTGAAATAGTGAGCTAATATGTGCCGCCATAAGAACTATTAACCAGTAAGGAAAGTAGTAAAGTCGGACGGGGCCGACTATATGATACTCTTCACCACTATGGTTCCTCGGTACCTATTGGTTCCTCGGTGCGTCAATTACTTAAAATCAATCTATAATAAAAGGGAGCTATATCTAAATCTGGACCGATTTTCACGAAACTTGGCAGACATAATTCTAGACTTAAATGATTAGACTGTACCAAATTTCGAAATATATATAGGGACCGTTTTCATTAAATCGGAAAAATATATGGGAGCTATATCTAATTCTGAACCGATTTTTCCCAATTTCAATAGGGTTCGTCCTTGGGCCGAATAAGTGACCTATGACAAATTTCATCATAAATGCGACCTGTACTTTGTTTACAATTTAACATGCACAGACAGACAGACGGACGGACGGACATGCATAAATCGACTTAGAAAGTGATTCTATGCATATTCTCAAAAGGAACCATGTGTCTATCTCGTTTCCTTTTGCCTGTTACAAACATATGCACAAAGACGTAATACCCTGTACCACAGTGTGGTTCGTCTTAATGTAGCAGCAAATATGCGATCTAATGTAACACGGAAATTTGACATCGAATAGCTGCAAACACAACAGATAGCAGAAGTCTTCTCCGCTCAACTTACACAACTGCTTGACGAAAACACCCCTTGTCCCGATAAGTTGCAGAGAATTGTCCACTACCAACAAACTGCAGCAAAAGCTACACTTGGGTACCATCAGGGATGGTCCGTGTGACGAATTTTTAGGTTTTCGACTGTCAAAAAGGTGTAAACGTCGAAAACGTCATATACCTGTATAAAATGTAATAAACGTAGTAAACGTCATTTATATCAATATTATCAGCATATACAGTTATTTTCAAGAATATATATTATTTTTACATATATCTGACTATTCCTTACTAGAACTGATAAAAATTTCTAATTTTTTTTTGAGAAGAAAATTTTGAAATTTTATATCGATTTGAGTAAAGCATGTGTAATTTCCAAATTGATTAATGGAAATAGCTATTTTGTCAAAAACCTAATGGATTTAGGTAGGTTTCCGATGTTTCTGACGTATGTATTATACGTCGGAAATGTATGTCATTTACGTCACTGTTTCTGACAGGCCATCTCTGGGTACCATAGACCACCATTAAGAAATCCGTGGTACGATCAGGAGTGTCATAATGCTACTGATATGAAAAACGCAGCGTATAGGGCAACCATGCGAACAGTAGCAATACGTAATGCGATTGAGAACTATCGGGAGAAAGGGAGAGAGGAGAAACGTATTTTCATAAGAAAGAAGAAAGAGCAAGAAAAACGTCAGAGTAAGCAAATCGAGATGTACATGAGTCAGAATGGAGTCCGAAAATTCTATCAACCGGTAAAACACCAAACCGAAGGCTTGGGTGCAGGCAAATTCTCCTGTTGAGATGAAGAAAGAAACCAGGTGACAGATACAGACAGCGTGCAGAGGATCTGAAGAAGCATTTTGAAAAACTTCTGGTATCAAATAGTAGCGGTGAAGAGGATACCCCAGAACCAATAATAGATGACGGTATAGAGTGTATACCACCCAACCAAGATGAGGTCAGAATAGCACTCAATAAGCTGAAGAACAATAAAGCAGCAGTTGCCGATGGGTTACAAGCCGAACTATTCAAGACTGTGGTCAGATGCTGGTAAGGAGCATGTACAATTTGGCTAGAGGAAAGCATGTTAGAGCAAGCAGTCCTGCGTCCCGTGCACAAAAAAGGAGACAAGACGATATGTGCCAACTATAGAGGTATAAGTCACCTTCCCATCGCATATAAAGTGCTATCCAGCGTACTGTGTGAACCACTGAAGCCAATGTTCAATGACATTATTGGACCATACCAAGGTGGCTTCAGACCTGGCAAATCCACCATTGACAAGATTTTCACTCTGCGCCTAATCCTGGAAAAGACCCACGAAAAAACATCGACTCATACCACATATTCGTCGCCTATAATACCGTATTCGACAGCCCTATCCGTGTAGACGCGTTTAAAGCCATGTCTGCGTTTGGCATTCCTGCAAAATTAATACGGCTATGGAGGATAACTTTAAGTGGCACAAGATCAGCAGTTAACGTCGGAAAGGACCTCTCGGAGCCCTTCAATACCGAACGATGGTTCAGACAAGTTGTTAGTTTGTCGTGTGACCTTTTTAACATCCTGCTGGAAAAGGTCATACGAGAGGCAAAAGTGAACAGAAATGGCACTCTGTACACCAAACAATACATGTTACTCGCCTACGCCGATGACATCGATATAATGGGTCGAACATTGAGAGCGGTAGTAACCACCTTTAAACAAATTGAGAAGGAGTCTGCCAAAGTGGGTCTGGCAGTAAACGGCGAGAAGACCAAGCTAATGGTATCAACGCGCAAGACGTCCAGTAGACTCGGACCAACTGTGGAACTTGAGAACTACAGCTTCGAGGTAGTCAAAGATTTTATATACCTTGGCACCGCCATAAACAAAACGAATGACATCAGTTTTGAAATTCGGAGAAGGATAAGGATGGCCAACTGTCTGAGCAAACAACTCAAAAGCAAGGCCACCTCCCGCCAGACCAAACTCACACTCTACAAGACGCTGATACTACCCGTGCTGTTACACGGATCTGAAGCATGGGTGTTTGAGAGAAAAATTCTCCGAAAGATCTATGGGCCGACGATCTGCATTGACGGTGAATATCGCCGTCGAATGAACCATGAGTTGTACCAGCTATTCTCGGACATCGACATTGTTAGACGTATTGAGCTGCAGCAACTACGTTGTATAGGTCATGTTGTGAGTATGGATGAAGATGCGCCAGCCCAGAAGGCATATAAAAGCGAACCAGCTGATGGTTCACGCAGAAGGGGAAGGCCAAGAATACCTTACCAAGATTATGTCGAAGACAACATTGCCGAAAATGGTCTTTCAAATTGGAAAAACTGAACAAAAGACCGACGCGCCTGGAAATTTTTCCTAAGCTCGGCTTATGGAACGAAAATTCTGTCACAAGCAAGCTATGTAAGTAAGTAAGACAAGGCGTGGATTTTTTAAAGAATATTTTTCATTGTTTATCAATTCTTTTGTGTTATCATTAGAATTGATTGAAATAGCTAAATTAAATAATTTAAAATAAATATGATTGTTTCGATTATGTGAGAGAAATATTAAAAATATTTGACCAGCTGTTTTAGCCTTAAAAACATTATGTTTATTTTCGATAACAAATGTTCAATGGTCGTCGCACACCATACACTATTTATATATAAAAGAAAACATTAAATACCATTAAAAGTTTATTTCAAAAGACTGGGCCAAGCTCAGCGCAATGTTCGCACTTAAGGCCATCCTAGCAGTTTGTCTCTTGGCAGTAGTCCTGTCAAAAGCCAAGGCTAATAAAACTCCATATTTAGTACAATTCCTGGACAAGAAAGGCAATGTCTTCTGTGTGGGCACACTAATACGCCCACAATATGTGGTCACTGCAGCTCATTGTTTCCCCAATGAAGATGGTAGTAAGACGACCGTGATTGGTGGTAGTGGTTCTGGAAAATCTGAAGATGAAATTAAGCGTTCAATATCGGCAGTTAAAATACATGACGATTATGGAGCTCGCACCATGCATTCCGATGTGGCTGTTGTCAAGTTAAACGATCCCATGGAAGGCGACAGCATTAAGACAATTGAAATGTGCTCGAATGATTTGCGTCGTGGTATTTTTCTTCAAATCCCCGGATGGAATCAGGCCAACAGCAAACAACCGCTGAGTAAGCAGTTGCGTACCATTTCGGCACGTTATGCTCCCGATGCAATGTGTAAGAAATTGTATGGACGTTATGTTGACCATGACAGCATGTTTTGTGTCTTTGGCAAAGAGGTAAAGGGCCACTGTGTGGGTGATTCTGGTAGTCCTGCCATTTATCGGGATGAATTTTGTGGCATTAATGCCTTTGGGCATTGGTGTAATCATGGCGGCCAGCCCAACGCCTTGACAAGTGTCTACCGAGTTCGTGATTTTATTGAGAAGGCAATTGAGGAGTTGGAGCAGCTGAATGAATACGATTATGATGAATATAGTGAATATGATTATTAAGAACATCTATTTGTTGCGTTTTTTAATAAAATAATAAAAAAAGTAAATTTTTTAAAAATATTTTCGAGGCTAAAAATAACCTCGGATTTTTTAACGAATATTTTTTCAAGGCTTACCAAAGGCCTGGATTTTTTAAATAATATTTTTTTAAGGCTTTAAAGCATGCGTGGATTTATTAAAGAATATTTTTTCAAGGCTCTACAAGAGGCGTGGATTTATTAAAGAATATTTTTTCAAGGCTCTACAAGAGGCGTGGATTTATTAAAGAATATTTTTTCAAGGCTCTACAAGAGGCGTGGATTTATTAAAGAATATTTTTTCAAGGCTCTACAAGAGGCGTGGATTTATTAAAGAATATTTTTTCAAGGCTCTACAAGAGGCGTGGATTTATTAAAGAATATTTTTTCAAGGCTCTACAAGAGGCGTGGATTTATTAAAGAATATTTTTTCAAGGCTCTACAAGAGGCGTGGATTTATTAAAGAATATTTTTTCAAGGCTCTACAAGAGGCGTGGATTTATTAAAGAATATTTTTTCAAGGCTCTACAAGAGGCGTGGATTTATTAAAGAATATTTTTTCAAGGCTCTACAAGAGGCGTGGATTTTTTAAAGAATATTTTTTTCAAGGCTCTACAAGAGGCGTGGATTTATTAAAGAATATTTTTTCAAGGCTCTACAAGAGGCGTGGATTTATTAAAGAATATTTTTTCAAGGCTCTACAAGAGGCGTGGATTTATTAAAGAATATTTTTTCAAGGCTCTACAAGAGGCGTGGATTTATTAAAGAATATTTTTTCAAGGCTCTACAAGAGGCGTGGATTTATTAAAGAATATTTTTTCAAGGCTCTACAAGAGGCGTGGATTTATTAAAGAATATTTTTTCAAGGCTCTACAAGAGGCGTGGATTTATTAAAGAATATTTTTTCAAGGCTCTACAAGAGGCGTGGATTTATTAAAGAATATTTTTTCAAGGCTCTACAAGAGGCGTGGATTTATTAAAGAATATTTTTTCAAGGCTCTACAAGAGGCGTGGATTTATTAAAGAATATTTTTTCAAGGCTCTACAAGAGGCGTGGATTTATTAAAGAATATTTTTTCAAGGCTCTACAAGAGGCGTGGATTTATTAAAGAATATTTTTTCAAGGCTCTACAAGAGGCGTGGATTTATTAAAGAATATTTTTTCAAGGCTCTACAAGAGGCGTGGATTTATTAAAGAATATTTTTTCAAGGCTCTACAAGAGGCGTGGATTTATTAAAGAATATTTTTTCAAGGCTCTACAAGAGGCGTGGATTTATTAAAGAATATTTTTTCAAGGCTCTACAAGAGGCGTGGATTTATTAAAGAATATTTTTTCAAGGCTCTACAAGAGGCGTGGATTTATTAAAGAATATTTTTTCAAGGCTCTACAAGAGGCGTGGATTTATTAAATAATATTTTTTCAAGGCTCTACAAGAGGCGTGGATTTATTAAAGAATATTTTTTCAAGGCTCTACAAGAGGCGTGGATTTATTAAAGAATATTTTTTCAAGGCTCTACAAGAGGCGTGGATTTATTAAAGAATATTTTTTCAAGGCTCTACAAGAGGCGTGGATTTATTAAAGAATATTTTTTCAAGGCTCTACAAGAGGCGTGGATTTATTAAAGAATATTTTTTCAAGGCTCTACAAGAGGCGTGGATTTATTAAAGAATATTTTTTCAAGGCTCTACAAGAGGCGTGGATTTATTAAAGAATATTTTTTCAAGGCTCTACAAGAGGCGTGGATTTATTAAAGAATATTTTTTCAAGGCTCTACAAGAGGCGTGGATTTATTAAAGAATATTTTTTCAAGGCTCTACAAGAGGCGTGGATTTATTAAAGAATATTTTTTCAAGGCTCTACAAGAGGCGTGGATTTATTAAATAATATTTTTTCAAGGCTCTACAAGAGGCGTGGATTTATTAAAGAATATTTTTTCAAGGCTCTACAAGAGGCGTGGATTTATTAAAGAATATTTTTTCAAGGCTCTACAAGAGGCGTGGATTTATTAAAGAATATTTTTTCAAGGCTCTACAAGAGGCGTGGATTTATTAAAGAATATTTTTTCAAGGCTCTACAAGAGGCGTGGATTTATTAAAGAATATTTTTTCAAGGCTCTACAAGAGGCGTGGATTTATGCAGGTTATTAATTATGTCATAGCCCATTCAATAAACTTTCGAACACTATAAACATCTGTAAAAACTGAGGTTCTTCCCACCTCCCCACATTTATAAGCAAATGCAATAATTCCACACAATTCACCCAAATGCACAGCTGGACCGCCAGAATCGCCCAAGCAATGCCCTTTGGCTTCGAAACCCGAACCACAAAACATATTTTTCTCCACAAAGGAACCATATTCTTTGTCACACATTTTCCTTGGTGTCATTGGCAGCAGCACAGTTCTCAATTCTTCAGACATTGGTCCACTTTCCTCCGTTTGACCCCAACCAGAAACATGCAAAAGATCACCTTCTTCCAGGCGATGTGAACAAATTCCAATTGTTAGAATATTCACACCCACCATGGGTTCATCCAATTCGATTACGGCCACATCAGAATGCATTGTTTGTGGATTATATTCTGGATGCATTGTTATGCTCTCAATATAACGTTCCTCTCCCTCACCATCGCTAGTATTGGCACCTCCAATAACCACAACACCATCACCTTTACCACTGGGAAAACAGTGTGCAGCCGTCAAAACATATTTTGGGCTTATCAAACTTCCTCCACAAAATAAATTCCAATAATTGGCATAACGGAATTGCACCAAATATGGCGTGGCGTCAATTGTTGTGGCAATACCTCCAATAATTCGTGTTAGCTTATCACCATTTGTGTTAGGACGGGGATTGGTAGAGGCAATAGAAACGGCAACCAGCCATATAATAATGCTTAAACGTTTTGTGAACATTGCCAGTTTTCCAGATGTTTATAAAAACAACTGGTATTAAAAAAATTGTATAATGCCATTTTATTGAATTTATACTATTTTTTTAACAGTTGTACAAACATACGTGTATGTGTGTATACATATGTTGTATTGGATTTCTAAAGCAGTACTTAGAATTAGTTTCTGTATGACGCTGTTTCATTGGGAATTCCCTACAGCACCCGTTGGAGATCTTTGCATTTGTAGGCAGTAGTAATGGATTTATTTTGGAATGTTTTCCGAAGTTTTTAACATTTTTATTTATAAGCAGAACCTAGCAATAATCATGAATTTTTTATGAATATGTTTCAAGGCGGAATATGGGAGGTGGAAAATGTGTAGATGTTTAAAACATATTTATTCAAAACTGAACCAAACTGTAGACGTGACTTTGGTCCTAAGAGTTTTTTTTTAACTTTTTTTCAAAGACCGAATATAAAGACAAGTAAGGAAAGTAGAGAAGTCGGGCTAGGCCGACTATATGATACCCTTCACCACTTTGGGTATATTCTACATACGTATTCTAACAATTTCATGTCAATGTTGCTTCGAGGGAACACTGAACGAACTTAAATATGTGAACTTTTTCTTTAAGTGTACCGACTAACATCAATCCATACACATGCCTTTCTGCAACCTATGCTAAATGTCAAATTATTCGGCAGATTTAGAGTCGTTTGCGTACAATGAGACCAATTTATGTAAATCGATTTATAATACAATTGATACACGCTATTCGGTACGCCGCACTGTTCAAAATTTAATCTCACTCAGACACCCGTTCTACAAATGTATGGAAGATATGTCAGCATCTGCACCAATTTCAAACCAGTAAGGAAAGTTCAAAAGTCGAACGGGCCGACTATATGATACCCTTCACCATTTTGGGTACATGCAGGATATGTTAATATCCGTATCAATAACATAAAATCGGACGAAACTATATATGGGGGCTATATCTACATCTGAACCGATTTGCTCCAATTTCAATAGGTTTCGTCCGTGGGCCAAATAAGTGAACTGTGCCAAATTTCATCCAAATCGGATCATAAATGCGACCTGTACTTTATTACCAAAAATACATGGACGGACAGACGGACGGACATACGTAAATTGACTCAGAAAGTGATTCTATGCATATTCTCAAAAGGAACCATGGGTCTATCTCGATTCCTTTTGCCTGTTACAAACATATGCACAAAGACATAATACCTTGTACTACAGTGTGGTGAATTGATTGATTCGTTGTGCAAAATTTCGTGTCAATCAAAGATATATAGGGACTTTGGTACGCCATTTACATTAAATCGGACGAATATATATATGGGAGTTATATCTAAATCTGAACCGATTTTCACAAAACATAACACACATCATTCTGGACTCAATACAGTACACTAGTGATGCGTATAAAAAGGGGTTATATGGGGGCTACCCCCAAAAGGGCGCGAATAATTATAATTTTTGGAAAATTACAGCGAACTCGGTTGAAAAACGCCCTCAAGAACCCCAAAATACCGAAAAAATGAGCCTATATTAATAATTTTTAGTAGACAGATTTGCTACCCAATAAACTACAGCCAATTCGATCGGTCGAAAAATGTGATCAATATCCCCCAAGAACTGAAAATTAGGGGTACCGTTACCAGAAAATGTGGACCTATATTTTTAATTTTTAGTAGAGAAATTTGGTACCCAATAAGAACCCTTACTTACTTAGCTGACTTGTGACAGAACTTTCGTTCCAAAAGGCGAGCTTAAAGAATATTTCCAGGCGCATTATTTCTAAACCATAGTAGCATATGTTGGCCAACACTATTCTTCTTCGAATTTCCAAACTGATATCATTAGTTTTATTTATGGTGGCACCGAGGTATATAAAATCGTTGTCTACATGTTAGTAGTAGTTCTCAAATTCCACAATTGGTCCGAGTGTATTGGACGTCTTGCGTGTTAATATCATCGGCTTGGTATTCTCGACATTTACTGCCGGACCCACTTTGGCAGACTACTCCCCAAGTTGTTCAAATTCATGACATTCATTCAGATATTCACTCTAAGCCAAATCCTGCAAAAAAACACGAAAAGCACATCAACACATTCCACCTATGCGTCGACTATAAAGCCACATTTAACAGTCCTATCCGTTCAGTCGTATTTAAAACCGTGCCTGCGTTCGACATTATGGCAAAATTAATATGGATATGCGGGATAACTTTAATTTGCACAAGGTCAGCAGTTAAAGTCGGAAAGGACCTATCGGATACCTTCAATACCGAACGAGGATTCATACAAGGTGACTGTCGTGTGATCTTTATAACATCCTGCTAGAAAAGGTTATACGAGAGGCAAAGGTTAACAGAAATCGTCCTCTGTACAACAAACAGCACATGTAACTCGTTCACGGCGATGACACCGACATAATAGATCTACGATTGCGAGCGGTGTCATCGACGTAGACGAGTTACATGTGCTGTTTGTTGAGTCCTCGTTACTTAGACCAATGTCAATGATCAATCTCTCTTTACCGATTAGTGGTCAACAGCTCCTTGCGGCTTCTTTTCCGAATCATGCTTTCCGGAGTAAAACTTAACTCCATAATATTCAATTTGTTTTATTTACACAAAAAAGTTTTGGTTTCTTTAAAACGTTATGTTTCAGGACAGTCATTCGAAGTAGTTGGTCACGTCGTCTGTCCCATGGAAAATTTGTGTTGTTTGGCTTATAATTGTGTCGTTTAAAGTGAGTAGAAAACCGGACAAAAATTATTTTTTCGGCAAATTTAATGCCCCAAAGTATCATCTGATAATCATTGAAAATTATAGAGTCGTCCTTGACCATAACTGGAACCTACAGGAAAACTACTGGAACCTACAGCTAAATTTACTGTAATTGTAAATATTTACTTATAATTCCCCCATACGACTACCTTCTCCTCTTGGTAATACTATCAACTTCTCCGGTACATGTCTTTTAGTAGTAAATACATACGCCATAGAGTTTTTTTTTTTAATATTTTGTATAGGGATCTTACTTAGGTTCTCCCCAACCCCTCTGCAAATTTTTGTAACGCTAGACAAGATGGGACATCAGGACGATGCCGATTAATATGAAATTTTATATAAATTGGACAATGGAAACGTGTGCCAATATTGTTTCAAATCGGTTCAGATATAAATATAGCTCCTATATATATTTTTGTTCTACGTGTCATATTTTTGAGACATTTTGTTTAAATATTATAAAAAAATGTCTCAAATCTATATACAGTGAGTGTAATAAGTATTTTGCCTCAATACAAATTTGACAAAATTCCAATAGATACGCCTAAAGCCAGCATACTAAAGATGTAAAATGAATTATGTATGATAGGATATGTTTGTGGACATATATAGATCTTATTTCTGCAAGAACCCCTGCGAAAGACCTATTGGTCTAGAAGATATCGACCAAAATCTATACCAACCCAAAAACGATTATCACAAAAAAGTATTTTGCTTTTTATTATTATTTTTGAAAAAATCATTACATAACATACGCTCCGTCTTTTTATAGTTTAAAGCGATTTGGCGACGATTCCAATAAGCCACGGCACTTTTTTCGCGAATATTTTCTCACATTTACGTTCAATACATTCTCCAGCAATATTTCATTTAATATTTGGTAATTTCTCGTCCTAATCTCAAAATGAGAATATTAAATATAGTCGTCGCGGCTTCAAAACATCCCAAATAAGTTTAGAATAATAAAAAGGAGGTTTTGCAAAATATATCGCGAGGACAGGACCTTAAAAACTATTAAAACCAATATCCGACAAACAAATTATTTTAAAAAATATCGCGAAATCCCATTTTTCTGACTTTGAAAACTTTATAGTCCATTAATATTGATCTAGGAAACAATATATGCGATGAAAATGGCAATAAGGAGGTCAGATTCAAAGATATGAACAGTTCTAAAACAACAGAAACTACAAAACAGTACATGAATTTGGGAGAAAACGTCATTCTTCGTGAAATACTATAGCGTTTTGAAAAATGTGGTAGCTGGTGACGAAGACGCATTCAATATTTTACATCCGTTTAACACCATCAGTTGTGAATAAAATGCAGCAGTGAATAAACTGGTCGATATATTTATTTTCGAAATAAGATGTATTTCTATTGCCACAAAACCGTTCATATCTTTGAATCTGACCTCCTTATTGCTATTTTCATCGCATATATTGGTTCCTAGATCAATATTAATGGACCATAAAGTTTTCAAAGTCAGAAAAATGGGGTTTCGCGATATTTTTTTTACATAATTTGTTTGTCGAATTTTGGTTTTAATAGTTTTTAAGGTCCTGTCCTCGCGATATATTTTGCAAAACCTCCTTTTTATTATTCTAAACTTATTTGGGATGTTTTGAAGCCGCGACGACTATATTTAATACTCCCATTTTGAGGTTAGGACGAGAAATTACCAAATATTAAATGAAATATTGCTGGAGAATGTATTGAACGTAAACGTGAGAAAATATTGACGAAAAAATGCCGTTGTTTATTGGAATCGTCGCCAAATCGCTTTTAGTATGTGGTTACCCGGAATGGTAACTATAAAAAGACGAAGCGTATGTTATATAATGATTTTTTCAAAAATAATAATAAAAAGCAAAATACTTTTTTGTGATAATCGTTTTTGGGTTGGTATAGATTTTGGCCGATATCTTCTAGACCAACAGGTCTTTCGCAGGGGTTCTTGCAGAAATAAGATCTATATATGTCCACAAACATATCCTATCAATCATAATTCATTTTACATCTTTAGTATGCTGGCTTTAGGCGTATATATTAGAAATTTGTCAAATTTGTATTGAGGCAAATTACTTATTACACTCACTGTATGTATATATATGTATGTATATAAATGAATTGCTGTTCGTTAGTCTCGCTAAAACTCGAGAACGGCTAAACGGATTTTTCTTATCATAGTCTTGAAAT